AAAAAAAAAACAACGCAGTCTCTGACGGCCTCCGCAACTTCTGCAAGTGCAGTGTGCCGTACCGTCTGCCGGCTCGTTGGGGGCCCCGCTTCGTTTCGACGTCTCATCAACTACATTCGCGCCATTCTTTGCGCGCCGCCGCGACTCTGAACCGCAGCCGTATTATCCTTGCGGCCCGCGGGACCCACATTTCCACTCCTACACTAACTTGCACACAGATAGATACATATGCTTACCTCGACAAACTGCAGTTGTATATATCCTTGCTGCCCACGGAGCCCGCGGGCATTCTCATCCCTACCTGGCTAGCACGCGCTCTTCGCCGCATTCGCTGCTCATTCAGGACGGTCGCATGCCGTGCGGCCGCACGGAACGATGTTCTCTGAGCGTTTTGCGTGAGTCAGGTTCATCTTCGTGCCCCACCAAATGTTGATGAGAGCAGCCGAGCGCGAGAGCCATTGGCTGTTGATTTTGATTTCGGAGCCTTTGCGTGATGGTCACGTTGCCGTAAAGATGGCCTGAGCTTTTATGACAGTTAGAGTTGGGACAGGACGAGAAGACACGGAGGCAGATCTAGACATATCAAAGCGTGATTGAAATGAGTGGGTGCTGCAGATAGCATGCGCAGCTGAGGCGAGACATCCGAAAATGCATGCCAGCCGACGCAAACCAACCATTCAGGCCCAGCCCAGGTCTATGAAACCGCTGTCATTCTCTTCCTCCTTCGAGTTGTACCTTGTCCTTACGCTCATTGGATCCGCGTGGTGGCCTTGAGGTCGCCTGGATCCTTTGTTCCGTGGTCACGCATTTTGATTGCATGACCAGATGGTCTGCTTATGTGGTCCGACATATGTACTACTAGAGTACTACATCATATTCCAATGACTATGGTTTTCTGTCTGTAACTTTCCTATGTGTTGCGCCCTGCCCCACACGATGCACGTCGGACCAGAGTCACTGACTGGCAGCACCGAGTCCGATGACCGAGGGAGGGTGCGGGCGTCAAGTGACATCGGTAGCTCAGTGCGCATTACATACTCGAACGCCGGACAGCGACCCGCCTCGCAGCTACGGCGTGTGTGCAGTAAGTATAAAGCCCATCCCGACCCACAGCGACCGCTCGCCTCTTCCACCATGTCTCAGGCTGTCTCCGACGCTATCCTCGCGCAGATTCTGGGCAGGCTCGAGGCTCTCCAGGTCTCGCAGCAGGCCTTGCAGGCAAAGGTGCGCGCCCCTGTCGTACGGCGAGCTGCCACCGTGTGCTGACGCCGAGCGCAGCTGGATGCCCTCACGCATCCCGTAAGCCCAGTATCCTCTCCAGGACACCATGTCGTGCCCATCCCGGGCGCCCTGTCCGACGGCTCCTCGCCCAGCAACACGCCCACAGCGCCTGGCGCAGTGGCCCACGCACAGACACCTGCGTCTGTCGCTGGTGCTGCCCCGGACAACATCATATCCGACAAGGAGCGAGAGAAGCTGCTGTACCCCTCCCGCATCATGCTCACCAGTAAGTCGTCGTCGTCCGTTCTCAAAGGACAGCACATATGCTGTGGCGCCGTGGCTTTTCGCGGACAAGATGTGCGCGACCGCGTTTGCTGACCTGCTTGCCCCCCCCCCTCCCCCCCCGCCGTCCTGCAGCGTACCCCGACCA